TGTATTGTTATGTGCGGAAGGGTTCGTAATAGATTAAATGCACACAAAATCAATGAAAGCTTAAAAAAAATTATTTTTTTCAAAAACACTTTACAGTTCTGGTACTTTCCACACAAAAGGTCTCGTACAACTCTTCTCAGTATCACAGAGCACAATCAATAGTTACCACTTCAAACTACTAAGAACATTGAACGAAAGGCAGTGCAAAGAACCTCAAAAGCTCGCACAGTGATCTCTCAAAACTCTTAAGCTAAATTGAAAACTGATGCTTTATCCGGTCTTATGCATTCTCCCCCCCCGGCCGAGAAATTTCGATAACCTTTGATTTCTCGAAATAGGTGGATTTCATACACAGTTACAGTTACATAGGGATCAGACCAGTTACAGTTACATAACTTGTAAAGATCCTAAGTTTTACTAACGTTTATTTTATTTTAAAACTCTACTAACACTTCTTATTTTCTACTTCCGGCCAGAATTAAATGCTTTAACTTGTTTATGCAAATTGTCTTGTCTTGTACTTAAGTTGTGGCTTTTTGCCAAGAGTTAGAGAGAGAGAGAAGGAGATTTAGTAAGCAAGCCGCTTGCCACTGCAGTTTTTTTACCAGTGTTCACTCGGTTGCTGGTTGCCTAAGGCCAGAGGCTTAGCCCTCTTGATATTTGCAAACGTATTGTAGTTTCAGCAGCTCGGCGTACTACATACGTACCCCTTTTAAATAAAGGCCAGTCTTAGTGCTAGGCATTTGTATAATAATTCAATTAGCTTTTAGTTAGAGTTTTAGTAGTTTTATATCCTTGCGTTCAGACCACAAGTGGTTGGTCTTTGTATCCCTAAGTTCGGAAGTACTTGTAAAAGTATAGAAAATAAAGGGTTTCGTATACCCTTCCTGCTTGTCTCGTCTGTTATGCACAAATCTTGAACATACCTTGAGTAAGCTCCCTGTTCTTATTCAGGACTCACCATGTTTCCAAAGCAAATCAAGAGAAACACAAGTCCTGATAAACTACAATATTTACTTGATGTTCAACTAAAATCAGTATTCTGAAGTGATTTAAGGTATCATAAGATATCATTTAATAATATTATTTCACATTGTGTATATCAAACCTAAATCTCAAAAGCTAACTACATTTTATGGTTTTCATACTCTTACTAAAAGCGCAAAATTTAGATGAGATTGATTCTTGGGGGGGGGATAATTAAAATAAATTGTTTTTACTTAGAAATGGCAACATTTAATGTCTTTTCCAGGGAACGCTTTGAGCCGAAAGATATTTCGAAGATTAGTTTTAAATATCTAATTAAACTCTAAAACCACATTGAATTTAACTGCAACAACGCGTAGGCGTCCAAAATCACGAGCTGGCTGCATCAGATTAGGTGCAACAGACGCAAAAGTTAATGGCCCAGCATGTGCTTCGAAATCCGTCCTTGAAACCCTATCGCTACTACTAAATGAGACATTAAAAAAGCAAAAAGCAAAGCTTCCAGAGTACATAAACTAAAAACAATTCGTATGAAAATGAGACTTTGTAAACAACGTCAATGCCAAAGTTTTTTTTTCTTTTAAATCTTCGACACAATATCGCTCACGTGCTTAAAATTTAAAAAAACTGGCGCTTTATTCGGAACTTCATTATCCTCTTGACAGTAATTCATTCCAATCGAATCGCCTTCAATGTCAGATTTTTTTTTTGTTTCGTGCATTAAAAATAAACTGCGACATTACCGTAGTTCTACAGCGGAACGCACTAAAAGGAATTTAAATAAATTTCAACTGTGATCATGTTAGAAACGTTTTTAACTGGTCTTGCACAATATTTAACGCCGTTAGGTTACGTTACACTACCATATCATGGATCATCCAAGTGAAACCACTTACAGAAAACATAACATCTTTAATTTACCCTCCAATTTACCAATAACCAACCTCTAGAACACTGCCATTTTTCTTTCTGATTTGCAACGTAGTTTGCAACAACAAAACATTTTGTAACAACAACAACAAAACATTTTGCGTCGCTTTATAACGCAATTTTTCAAAAGTTTTCGCTGTCTTAAACAAATTATGCACTATAATTCTCTCAATCTTTAGCAAACTGCTTTATAATAATTTATTAACTTATAAGCTATTTTCTCCCACCTTACAGCATGCTATCGTGGTGTAACGGTATCACACTCGGCGCGTATTTCGAGAGGTCCAGGTTCGAGTCCCGGCGAGAGCAAGTCTTATTTCTCACGTCTTCAGCATCAAAATAACCTAATGATTCTACAAACTGAATTCACATTTAGAAGTAAGAAAGAGTTCACAACCTTTCTCGTGAATCTGCAAATTTTTGCAATGAAATTAAATCCAGAAACATACATTCAAATATATTATCTGTTAACATTTTTTTAACAAGCTCAGATTGTATTTATTTATTTCTGTTCTGCGGACTTAAATGAACCTGGGGGCACCTTGCATTTGACTCGTTCTGCTCCGTTCAGGATTTGAAAAGAAAATAACGTTAAAAAGATTACTTTTTAATTTAAGGAAAGTAGTAAACATTTATTTATTTATTTACTTTTTGCTCTCAACCGCTAACTCGCAAAAATCACGGGGACGCATGCAAGGATTCAACCGAGTTCGTATGTTCCGTGCTATTTACTTCCGTGGAACGTTTTCACCAGCGCTAACGGCACCCAAAATCCTTCGTAAGCGATCTTCTGCAATTGGGAAATTAAGCATTTACTTAAAAAGCCGTTTACCAGAGCCGAAAGTGAAGCAGGTTCGCTCTATTTAGCGGTACTATAAATAAAAAGAAAAAGGCCGATAGGAAAAATGGAGCGTGACATCCTTACCAGGTAAACATACCTGTTAAGTAACGCCGCGGTTGAGGAATCTATTTGGGACGACTGTTTTACCAGCGCATAGGGTTCAGGTTAGGCATGGAAATTACAACACAAACGTTCTTCTGTTCGTCAGTTCATTAATCATTATTTGTTATTTTGGGAAATTGGAAATCGTTTGCTGAGCTTTATTTGTTTTTCCCGCACAGCAAAGACAGTTCCACATTCCATATCTCAAGGAAAAGAAAATACGTGTATATCCTCCAACGCAGCACGGACGGCATAGAAGATAAAGCAGTTAGTAACACCAAGAATGCTTATAATAATAAAACTATGAATTAATACATTAAAGCAAAATTCAAATTAAAATAAGTAGAATTCTCGAGAGCTCAAAGTTGCTACATAAAATAATTCGCAAAATTGACTTTTGTCAAACATTTTATTCTTTTCTCCCTGTTAAAACCAACTCAACATGTTTATTAAACTGATTGGATTGTCTCACAGCTTATAAATATAACACTAGAATTGCAGAAAATATATGCTGAGAGTTATATTTGCTAAAAACGCACTTCTGTTATCTGTAATTGGCAAATTTCAATTTATTTTAGCATTCCTATCTGTTCAAAATGATAGCATTTTACCAATGTCATAAGAACTACATAACACAAATAAGGCTTTATCAAAACAGAAATTTTTCATAAATTTTTGAACCAAAATCGTCACGAGAACTTGTATTTTAAGAAATGAAATCACTCATGATAACTAGAATTTTTTTCTTTGCGTAAAAGAAATAAAAAGAATAAACTGATAATTAATTTGACAGGAAAACTAAATTAAAATTTCTTTCAATTTTTACAGTAGATAACAAAAATGTAACGAGAAAAATGATTAAAAACAGATGTTATTGCAACAATAACGCAATAACATGCAGTAGACGTGTATTAATACTGGGAATTTCAAAATTAGCAATCTTTCTTTATTTTCAAACAATTAACGTATAACGTAATCAAAATAATTTAATAATTAGAAACGGATCTGGATGGAATTGGATCTGCAGAGAAGTGAGTAAAAAGAATATGGGATTCAATGCATAGAAAACTGAATTATAAAATCTTCTGTGATATACAAGAATTTGAAATATATAAGTACCGATATTTATAAGGCATGTATTACAATTACCAAACAGTCTAACGAGTATTTTGCTAGAAGAATACAGATATATGTCGAATTCGTCCACAGTCCAAAACCGCCCATATCATATAACGTAAAAAAAAAAGAAGATTAAAAAAGAAATTTTTTGATACATAAATATCTCAAAATTGCAAATGTGAAATCAAATAATGCAAAGCTTAGATCATCAAAGGAACTTTGCCCATACTTTCAGCATTTTGGCAAAGCTGGAATGTGGTACTCGATATTTTAACTTTTACCTAAACAGAGATGGCTTTAATTCAAGTGGAGTCTACTGGATCACCGAATAAGCTGATACTTTCTTGTATAATTGAATCGAAATATTAAAGGAAAGTTCTTCTATCATATCATTACAACATTTTAGTAAGAAGTGCTGAAACTGATGTTGATACTAGATACTGAATCCGTGTCTCATTTTCCCTGAGAAGAAAAAATACTGGTAAAACTTAAAAGACTAAAGAAAATAATTCCCATGTCGGAATGAGTGCCAATCAGGAAGAGGAATTTTTTATGGGCTGTTTCCATCCGGTCAAGAAGTTTTAAATGCAACAGACGTCAAAATAAGACAGCAGTTTTATCTAATCTCGAAGAATATTGTTTGATAAAATTACCTTTGTTTTATTATTGATATCACGTCTTCTCTAAATTTATATCCTTGATTTTAATCATATTTAAAAAGTTTATCATGTAATTATTTTTTAATATTTTATTTAATTTTTATGATATAATGATAATTTAATTTTTACTTAGCTATCGTTATTATCCGTTTTTACCACTTATAAATTTTATAAATATTTTTTAGTCATTAATTTACACTTTACTTAATTATAATCATATAATTCTCATTATTTTATTATTATTTATTTATTTTTGTTCACCACTCCTTACAGACTCTTACATTCCTAATTTTAGGAATTAGGCCCTGATCACAGCACAAGTATTACAAAATGATTTTTAAAGAAATTCAAAAGAATCTCACCATTAATAGGCAGGCAAGGAGACTTTGGGCTACAGGAAAGACTCATGAGTACCATAGCGGCCATACAATCATCCATGACTCCGTCATCCGCACTCGATCTCCTCTTACGTCCACTAAAATGCAAAAGAAGAAATTCATTGTTTGACTAGGGAAACAATTTGTAGCACCAAATCTTATGTATACTTCATTGCATAATAACATAATTAATTTTCATAGTATATAATTTGCCAGAATAAGTATACAAAGCTGAAATTATATTCAATACAGTACATTATTTTAATTCCTTTAATTCCTGAAAAAAATAATGTATGGTTCCAGATCTATTTTTAATTGCAAAAATAATAATTTTAGTTTTATTGGTATTATTAAATAATGAAGAATCTGTATGTATGTTCCTCGCATTGCAGAAAAAGAGCGATATCTAAAACCACCAAATTTTGAATACACGTAGTTCTTCACTCAAACAAGTGCACCTTGTGTGTGTGTGTGTGAATATGGCAAAGCCTCGAGGGCTATCTGCCTAAGAGTAGGGATGCCTTCGTGGAGGACTTTCTAAGGGAAACTGGCTCGTATATACGTTACACATGGGAAAAACCCCGAAAACGCCCATGCAGCCAGCCCGTTCGCGGGATTCGAACCTCGGACCGAACTACCAGTGTTCAGCGACTTTACCGCTCGGCCGCTGGTGGGCCAAGTGCACCTTGAAGCCGGAATTTTTAAGTTTTGAGTTCGTTTTTGATTTATTCATATTTTGTGGGAATTCAATGAATTTTTGATCAATGAACTCAGCGATTTAAAAAACAATATGTTGCCAAGCCTGAGATAATTGTTTTTCATATTTAATAAAAGAACCCAGCTATTTAGCTATTTACCCTTGCCAAATATATAATAATTTTATTTTCCTCGCGCCAGTTTATTGCATTCTGGTGGAGCGAAAGATATTTTCTTTCAAATTTAATCTATCTCTTACTGAGTAAATAATGTTAGTGATTTAAAAGCAATAAACGCAGTTCTTTGTTATTATTAATAATTAGCTGGAGCCGAGAAATTATACTAGCTAGATTTATTAAAGACATTATATTCTAGTATTTTGTCCTTTTTACAGTAACTAAGGCCAGTCTGCGCTAAGTCGTACCCCTAATAAAAAAACAGGTACAAATCGTAAAATTGTATTCATTAAACCGTACGAAAAAAATAAAAATTATGTGTGGTAATAATATTTTGTATTGTCTTTGCTGATATTTATTACAGTAAAATTTCATACAGTACAAACTCTCGGATAAAATTAATAAAATTTATGAACATAAATTTAATACGACTTAGACAACCAGTATTCTAAGTCGTACCACCTACAGCTTAAGTCGTACTACGTTTAAAATTGGACAATTATATTGAAACTTTCTTTTTCTCAATTAATTATTTATACAATTAATTACAACAATGATCACAAAGATACTTGTTCCTTTTCTTGTCAACTCCAAAAGCCAACAAAGGATGGGGTCAACAAGGATGTCCAAAAGCCAACAAGGATGTCAACTCCAAAAGCCATGCAAGCCGTGTCCCCATCCTTTGCATTTTAGGCACTAAATCATATTCTCTTCGACGTTTTCTTCACGAATATTACGTTCCCTCCAGCGGATCAGCGGTAAAGTCGCTGAACACTGGTAGTTCGGTCTGTGGTTCGAAAGTCGGCGAACGGGCTGGCCACGTGGACGCTTTCGAGGTTTTCTCCATGTGTAACGTATATCCAAGTCAGTTTCTCTTAAAAAAATCACTCACGAAGACATCCTACCCAGGGCAGATATCCCTCGAGTGTTTTACTGTAATTATATAAAGCAAACCACAAATATCACAGGGATATGAACAAGATGTGAACCAATGTGGTTGACTAGGGTAATTCATATTGACGTGATATCACGCCTAATATTAAAAAGATGTGACTTAAGGAGTGGTACAACTTACGCAATCTTACCCTATTTTTAGATGGCTGGCAGTGCCAAGTTCAGTGTATAAAGAGTGAAATAAAGTTAAGACAAACATTTTCTTCTACAGCCCATATAACCTTATTCTATTTATCAGCGATTACAGTTTGGAAGGAATAAAAGAAAAGGATCGGCGTCAGGCATTTTGCCGCTCAGTGCTCTGTGGGTCCTAAATTCTGCCAACCGATACCTTAAATGCTAAAATTTCTGCTTTCCATTACTTTCCTTAAATTTGCAAAATTTTGCCATTCCTAAATCTTGCTGCTGGGTGCTTCTCTAAATTCTAAAAATTTTGTCGCCCACTGCAGGTGCACCGGCCCTATAAAAGAATCATGAAAAATAAAAAAATGACGTCCGCACAGTTCATCACAATGCTGCATTCTAATTAGCATTATGATTGCACCTGTTTATATTGTGTATACTTCATATCTTCTTTTAGTATCTAAATTGTATTGCACTTCATTTGTATTCTTATCCCATTGCCCTTCTTCTGAATATATCACAGACATCAAGGATTTTTGCATCTCTCCATTTCATGTTTTCTACAGCTATTAGCTAACACATTGTAGTAAATCACCTACCTGCCTGTCGGAAAACTCTTTATCCACCAGTTCGAACAAGCATCTACCTCTGCATTGGAATGGAAGAGCAAAATGCTATAGTAGCCACAGTAATTTAATTTTTTCCTCGATTACTACGGCAGTTTGCGCTTAAACTGGTTGTATGCCTGTTTCAAAGCCACAGCCAATAGTCAAATTACGTTGTTTATAAAATTTTATGAAACTATTAAATGACTCGTTACGACAACAATTTTTTTATGGTTAAGTGATTGCATTATTCTTATCCACTCATTAATAAGAAAAAGAAAACATTCTAAAACCTTATGAATACCAACCTCTGGTGATTGCCGCAACTCCCCTCGAAATGTATATAGAATATTTATCATTTTAAATTTGGATTTTGCTTATATTTAATATCCATTTCAGGTATTCTTATTTCCTATGCATTTACTAATAAACGCTTTATAATTAATTTAAAGAAATAAAATTATATGTAAATATAATTAATACGCATTATATAAACATAATAAAAACATATGTTACCATTTAAGGCAAAAAATAATATGTGACAAAACATGTATTTCTTAAATGTAATGAAAACATAGTACTTATTATGTAGAATGGAGACAAGCACGAAAATGCATGATACAAAATTACGACAAAAAATCTTCGTTTGGGGTAGATTTTACATAAACTTTTATCAATTTTAAGAGTTGCTGATAGAGGTCCCTCTTCTTCAACAGTAAAAACGTCTGTACAGAAAGATGCAGTAAACAGACAGTCAGTTGCAAAATACAGATAATGGTTTTATATAAAACCTAAGCCAATCTAAGGCTTTTTATCCTAATTATACATTTATTATGTAATTAAAAATAAACCATACAGTTGTCCATTTGTCATAAAGTGAATTCCATAATTATGCAGATATACTATTTAATATACCTATTTACAATCACATCATTATTTACGCCGAAGTGAAAGGGAGAAAAAAAAAGAAAATGAATATTTCTTTCATCCTGACAGATTAATGATATGAGTAACATTTGGGTTGAAAAAGAAACACTGCTTTTGAAAAAAAGTACAATTATTATTTATTAATTGTCAGCTAGAATTTTTTAAATGATCTAACAACGAAAAGAACTGTAATGTATAATTGTCTAAAAAAATGTCCAGCTACTGAATCTTCGGTAATCAGTGTCCGAGTAATGCAAATGTAGAATTCAGCCATTTAGGCTTTCTTAAAGTTATTATTTCATCGAAAACTGTGTCACTTGGCGCCTCTGTTGTAATTACCTAACTGTACAGTGCGTTGCTATGCAGCAAGCGTGAGGATGAACGTGGCTCTTTCCTTGCCACTTAATAATAAATATTAATAAATTCAATTTGATTTCGGTCTTCCGATGGCATGTTTCGCCATGGAATTACAGAAACTTTGAAAAACAATTACTAGTTTATTAATTTCGGATATTGTTCGTGAGTTTCGTTACTGAAAATTATAGTGTAAAGGCCAAAGTTGCGTCAGCCCAGCAGGGCTATTAATCTCGAAACGGCATTTTGCGTCGAATCACTAAAAGCGTTGAATCACTTTTCAAATCGTTGTCATTAAATATTATCTCCCTGTATTATATTTAAAGAAATTAAATAATGAAGAATCTGCATGAATGTATGTATGCTTCTAACAATCTGAAAAAACAACGGTGACTAGAGCCATCAAATTTTGAATAACGTCGTCCTTCACCCGAAGATGGGTCCCTTTAAAGCCGAATTTTGAATTTCGACTTTGTTTTATTATCTATTTCACATTCTGTAAAAATTAATAAATTTTCGATTAAGAAACTCAACGACTTCAAAGCCAACAATAACAACACTGTACGGAATAAAACATTTTTATCTCCAGCGTGCGAGACTGTCTATCGGAAGTTCTAAAGCTATGCTGTTTGTAAATATTTTTAGCCAAAAGGAACGTTAAGACAAATTCTCTCGAAACGTGTATGTGTGTATAAAAAAACCCGCTTCTTTGGGCATAATATAAAATCTGAAAGAAAGCTTTCAGTTTTTTTTTTTTTTTTTTTTTTTTTTTTTAATGAAATGGTCGACAACGTATAAAACTTTTTCACAGATCTACGCTTGCATTAAAATTGTTAAGAATCGGTAACTATTGTAATCCGTTGGTTAACTAACAAAAAAACGAATAAAGTTGTTATCAGTGAATCAATTTATAACACAAAAGCATGGCTTCTTAGTTGACAATAAATAATTAAGAAGACTCACAGTCTCTTGTTCTGTGTGGTTTAAGCGATAAATGCGTGAAAGTAATTACCTACTTACCCTCTAACAGCGGCAGTTATTTGTTCGAAATTCTGGGAAAGATTCTGAATGTGATTAATAAATTGCACAAAAGAAATGGTACTCAAAAGATGAAACGCAGGCTTTTACCTTTCCGAGGCAAGAACTTTGAAATAGGTGCGTGATATGCTCTGGGTGTTAATTATAACTCCAAAATGAACAAAACAAAAAGGTAAATTCGTGCGGAGCGGATCATAAATGTGGGAGAAGTTAACAGATGGGCTATGTTCATGCTTTCG